ACCTTCCCATCACAATAGAGCACTTGACAATACGGTGATATCTTCTTCGGGAACGGATTCCGGCGTTCGAACAGCAAATTTTTGCCGGTTGAATCGAATTTGAATAAACCACCCTTTGAAGCCACCCAAACGTTACGTTCACTATCCACACACAAGCTGCAATCAGTAGGCAACACATCAATCCTCTCAATCAGATGACCGTTTAATCACTTGATAATGACCACTCCATCTCATAAGCCTGAACCTATACGATAAGACTCTAGTCATACCCACCTGTACGGCACGGTGGCACCTTTTGGTGTCAAATGAATGAACATTTCGTCCAGTCTCTGGTGATTGGACGTATTCGACAAATTTTCGGTCATTTTCTGTCGTTGGCCTTGTCCAGATTCGATACTCGATGTTGCGACCCCTACTGAAAACTCCTACTGTTTGTTCAAATTGCATACGAGACGAGGCACTTGCTTGCATACCAAACACGAACAAATTCTACACGAACGCTCCAAAATCGATCGCCAAATCACACCAAATCAAAAATTCTATCCAGCAACTGATACTTCCAGCAAAACCATCAAACAGCCATTCCAATTCCACTCCAAACCACACCACCATCAAATATCAACGCTCTCCTCCGAAATCACTCTAAAACACCAAAATCTTTCACCACACAACCAAAACCAACGATCTTCAATCTCCAGTCCAAACCGAACTAAGACTAAAAATCAAATTTGCGCCTCTATGCATAAGGCCGATTTGTCCGATCAAACTACAACCAAACTACGACTTCGCTCGCAAAACAAAACGCCAGAAACTGCGCGTCGCAGTTCGCCAAAATCGGCGAGAGCGCAGACGAGCAGAGCAGCGACCATTTGGCGACTCGGTATCGGGCACCAGCTTTCGAACATCGTTCTAAACCGTTCTGAACTTTTTTAAAATAAAACTGAAAATTTTTCACAAAATTGAGTGAAAATCCTCGAATTTTCCAAAAATTCAAATAAAAATTTACTCAATTCATATGTGCAACAACAACAATAAGTAGTTGATTAAAATGATTAAGT